ATTCGTAAATTCTTTAAATATTTTTGCTCTTTTGTATTCGATGCGCTCATTTTTGTTATAAATGCATGATATCCGCAGTCCAATTGTTAGACAACTACATCCCTTTATTGTTCAAATGTTCGGAAAATAGTAAATTCATGCTGTTTTGGAAATATAAATTGAATAATCTGGTGTAGTATTTTTAACTATGTTATATTAGAAAAAGATGTTCAACGAACAAAATTTTGAATCACTATCCCAAATTTTGTTTTTTCAGTTACTGTTTGCGGGTTTTTCGATAGATGCATTAAATATGAGCTATGATTTGCATCCACTGATGACAAATATTTTTGTACGTCCTGGCACTTTGCAGCTTCTGCTTGCATTTCATTATTACAAGCTTGTTTGGTAATTTAAAAGTTGAAATTTATTTGTTTATTCTTTTACATGTTGAAGAACGATAAGGTTATTTCTTCATTCGTTTAAAACATACTTCTGTATTATTGTCACTAGAACTGCCGAACTCTAAACGCGATTAACATATACTGTTTTATAACGAGATTGGATTTATTTAAATTTCGTATAATTTCTATGGTAATATTGGGTATGCATAGATTTTATAGTAACACTGTAGAATAAAGTATGCATTTCATTCTTAATAACCTAATACATAGTCAAGTCTTTATGCAGAGATCATATTTTCTTTCCACCTTTTAACTAATTCCAATAAGATCGATTTAATACATTGACACGCGTAAACCTCAATTCTTATCTAATTAAAATTATTACTAAATTATTAGCCTTCTACTGTTTTAAATTACACCCACCACTTTTTCTTATAAATACATAAAATCTACATGTGCTTGGATAAAGAGGCTTATTTAAAAATTTCTCCTAGAAACATGTTTATAATATAAGGAATTTTAATAAAATCAGAAACCAGTCATATATAGACTGGTTTTGGCAGTTCTAGAGTTAATAGCGATGTGTTTGAAAGAAGCTGCATAATTTTCTCCCAAAGGCACAAGAATGTTATAACTAGATTGCAAATTTCATGCGAAATAAAAATGGTCTGACTTAATTACAAGATACAGGAGCTACAACCGCATAAAGATAATTGTATCTACTCCAACCAGTGGAAGATAGTATAAAAGCACACTATATGAGAAGACAGCAGGTTCGATGTAAAATAGAAATGTTATGCATCTGATAAACGAAGCGAGAACCACTTAGTCTTTTTCTTCCTTGAATATTTTTACACTATCCCAAATAACTACTCAATTTTACCATGAATCTGCACAGACCTGGGTAAAAATATTTGAAAAAGTATTGGAAATAATTAATGAAATAGTCTTGTATGTATGAAGTAATATTTATATTGTTTATTATTATTGAAAATGGTTGTTTATGTTGTGGTAAAGTAAGTTATTAATTCAAGTAGTATTTTCTTCAGAACTGCTGGAAATAATTACTTGAAATAACATTTCATGTGACTAAATTTTTATTACTTATTTGAAATTCTATTTCTCATGGTTAATATCCATGTAAGAAAATAAACCTATAGAAAAAAGTACAAGTACATATTCTGTTGAGAAATAAGTTTCTTCTTATATTTCTCTTAATTAATTAATGTAATTGGAACATTTAATATCTGTTTGCTTTTAACAATGTACATATCTCAAATAATACATATCTCAAATTAAAACACGAATGTCGAGATATACTCGCAGTTGGTTGGTCGGTAAAATTTCATGGAAATGATATTCAAGAATCGTGCTCAAATCAAATTGATGTAAAGAGTTCTGAAAATAAAATCTTCTTGTTGCATATTATTTTGACAATTATTTCTTTTGCCATATTTGAAACGAAAATGTAGCGGAATAATTGTAATATAATAAATAATTGAATATATATAGTGAATATATAATGATATATAATGATATATAACGAATAAATAATTGAATATTTGTAATTGTATCGACATTATTTTTATTTTCAAATAACAGCATAAGAAATATCGATTTGAAGTATAAACAGATATTTCTTGTTTTATCCTGTCTATTTCTCTTGTAACAAGCTCGCAAATGAAAAAATCATTATACGCAAGAAATAGAAAATTAAAATATGCTTACACTAATTCTGTTGCTAAGCGATTCGAAATACGAACAAACTCGATCTAAATAATCAAAAAGGTTTAATGCATCTCGTCGAAAACTACCATACGAAAACGGGAGTTCGCATGAAAATTCCCAGTCTGCCGATGGCACTGCGTGTATGGCAACACACGACACATGTTCGCTAATGCAGAGAAAGCGGACACGGTGGAAAATATTTATCGGAGGACCGCAGCGACAATTGCGGTACCGGGAGCGGGTACTTTGCAAGGAGAACAGGATTACGTAAAGCCGAATCGGCGTCGATACTCGCCGCGGAGCCCGTAAACGGCCGCGGGTACGTGTCGTAGTAGGCCCCTCGAAGTTCCTTACCTTTTCCATCCACCGGTTCACCTTCGTCCCCGCGTGCCCGTGGAAAACGAGACACTTGCAATGGCCATTTCTCACGGTGCAACAAAAGCCGCCGCTGCGCTTGTATATCTTGCAGCGCCCGGCCGTTCTAGTTTAACGTTGCGCACACGTGTGCGTCTGGTGAAAATATCGAAGCCGTATTATATCGTTCGGCTCCGTAATAATTGGACAGGTGGACCTTGTAAGCGACCTGTAGGGACTGGTATTTTCACGCACGATTAACGCGATAGGCGCGTGCTGACATTCGCGCTGTCCCAGACCGGAAAGGCTGCCCTGTTGTTCTCTGACACACATGAGTCGACGATGTCGCGATGTACAGCGAAATTCTGAACAAAATTAGCTATTTCTGGGATGACTAAAATGAAGAAGTACAATAGGAAATATTCCATTTTTTTCTATTATTTTTATGAAATCGTATAGAGATCATGGTAGATGGAATTTTTCATAAATATTGGATAATGTGGCTCTCGACTATACCACGCTCGAAATAAACATTGAAAGAATGAAAGAAACGTCAAATACAAAATAGCAATTTGGTTTTGGAATGTTACATTCACATGCCNAATAAGAAATAACTATCTGAAATTGAAATACGAAATAACTATGTAAAATTAAACTAAGAAATAACTATTTAAAATTGAAACAAGAAATTACTACGTGAAATTAAAGTAACAAATAACTATTTAGAATGGAAATAAGAAATAACTATTTGAAATTGAAATAAGAAACAACTATTTGAAATTGAAACAAGAAATAACTATTTGAAATTAAAATAAGAAATAATTATTTCGCATTAAAATAAGAAATAACTATCGAAATATTGCAACTAGTATTTCATTTAATGCAGAAATAAATGACTATTTCAAATGGAGCATATATAGTATAGTATACTTGTAAGTATTTGTATGTCTTATTCGAACTATCTTTATCCAGCTCTGAACCTGCAGTCCGCGTACAAGAAATCCAAGTTGGCGCGTCCGCAGAATTCCTGGAAAGACATATCCACTATCGGAAAACCGCGCGAATGAACAAAGGACCCCCTGAAGTTCGCGATGCCCATGCTTTAGTCGGCCGGGTGTTAGTACACATGACGTTGACAATTCGATAATTGGGGGAGAGGATCGAGAACGAAAATGAATCAAACCTTAGCTGTGACGAATCTCTTCGAGAACGGTTCTGCCATAATAGGTAGACATCACTTCCCATCTGGTCGTCACGGTTTCCAATATTTTTCACAGAACCGGTGGCCACGTTAATTTCAAACAGACTTGCACGTTTCACAGGTTCCTATTCATACGTCGCACGACACTACATCGTCTCACCGATGCTTCCGATTTCACGCACACACTCGGCATCCTATGTTTCGAACATTTTCCGACGTCTCACTGTACACGCGCCTGGCAAACGAAGAAATTGTTCGCCTCACATTTGCACTTTTTGCCCAGCAGGATTTTGGCACGACGATTATTTACACTGCTGTGGAGATTGATTTCATTACGAAAAAAAAATGAAACCACCGATACGTACCGATAGATCGATAATCGCAACGGGGATTAAAATTTTCCGAAGCGCGCGTTTTAAATTGGCCTGCAACAAATTGGCATTTTCGATCGACCGGATGCAACGGAGAACAACAATATTGGAGAACAATATCCCGTTCGAATTAATTGTCATCGAAACAACACTTCCCCGGTAGACAGATCGGCGCGTGATTTTTCATAAAACTTGATTACGTGTTTGCGCAGTGTGTTCAACGACCGATACGGAGAGAGGGCCTAAAATATTAAAAGCGTACGTTTTATAGTGAAAATATGAACGGCTCGCGTTTAATTGATCTTTTTACGGCTGTTTAATTCAACGAATGTGCACGATCAATTTTCATAATTACACGCGCAGCCGCTAAACAATTTAACTGCAGATGCAGCTGAACACCATTATGATTGTTATTTAAATGTCGTTGGCCTACACTAGGAAAGAAAACACTGAGGCATCGTGGGGCCGCTCGACGAATCGTAAATTCAATGCGACAATAACATTAAGCACGTGGAACGTATACAAGCGGCGGGATTTATTTCCATTCCATTATACACGGTAATACAAAACACCCTTGGAACAGTGACACACAACGGACACACGTTCGCGATCGAAGAAACTTCATGAAATTCTATACGACGAACGTATAAGCGGCTAAACTACCACGCGGCGTCGGGATGATTATTATTGAACACAGAGTTCATTGTTCCTAGTTTCCATCGTCTGAATCGGCGAAATCTCAAAATTAATGTACAGACACAGAAAATCGCGTGCCGCGAAGTCAGTGCGAAATATTAGAAATTATATGCGAAATTGAATGATGGCAAATTCCTGTAATCAATATAATTTGGAAATGGATGTAACGTGTATTTGCTATGCGAATAAAGAATTGGAAATTATAATTCATAATCACTAATAATTTGTATACTGATGTTGGCATTATGTTTGAAGCTAGTCCATCAGTTTTGTACCGATATTTTTAAGTATTTCATGAATTAATTTATAGAACGGTATAATATCAAATAAAAATACGAATAAAGAAATGGAAATGATAATTGATAACCACTAGACTGCGGATTTCATGGATTTATAACAAAAATGAACGAATCGAATGCAAAATAGCAAATAAAAATTTTAAAAAAAGTCTGCATCTTGCAATTACTGATGACGATATTTATTTTGTACAATTATTTATAGTATAATAATTACTAA